GAACAGTGCGCCCTGTTTGCTTCGTTTCCTCTGGATCTATCCTCACTCTCCCCTCCCAGTGGCATTTTAGGATTTCTTAGATGCTGTGCCTCCAAATCCGACAGTAGGAAGAGCTCCCACCGGCTCCGGCATGTCTGTGGCAGACGTTAATTCAGAGAAACAGAAGTGCCGCATGACCAGAACAGGACATTTCAGATTTACTTTTAGGTTGTAGCTTATTCACCAATTTTTCTGCCTCAAAGATCGTCCATTTATCCGAAAGCCAGGTAACAAATAAGACATAGTATGACAAGAAAATTGGAAGCAATTATTCATCCTTTCTAAGTTACGTTCATAATTAAACATGCCATCTCTTGCACAAACGCGGATGTTGTTTTCAAAAATGTGACACATTATTTTGGAGGCTGAAGAAAACCTCGCAAAAATACCCAAGTGCCGTTACGTCTTTCTCTCTTTTGACGGCAAACTCCTGAGGAATCAGATTCGAAGAGAAGCACAGTCTGAGGAACGGGATGGTGGAAGGAGGACCCGCACGTGCCGGGGAACCGCATATTGGCCGACCAGCGAACCGGAAGCCATAAAATGGCCGCCCTGCCCATAGCTGCTCGGACAGCCTGGAGAGGCAGTCAGAAAACAGAGCGTTCTGGAGAAACGCTGTCCATACAGCCGTGGGGAGTCAGCATCAGAGTGACAGTGAGTAGTAATAATAATAATAAGAAAAAGAATATTAATAGGAAAGGCAGAGAGTGTTCTTATTGGCTGGCTCGGAGCCTGCACACCTCATCAGTGTCCGTAATTCTCAGACCCATCACTCTAAAACCAGACTTATCCAGACAGAATTCTCACTCTTCTTTAAAGTTTCCTTTTCTCCCAAGAGGCAGATGATAGTGCTTAGCTTTATTACGTTTCAGAGACGAGAGGACCTGTAATAACGAACGCCTCTGAAGGGGGCTGCAGCATTTAGATGTGTCAGATGTTGGAATGATATTTAATCACGGTGCACGGTGTCTGCGTCTATTGAAAAGACAATTTAATTGGCAACCGGTGTCAAACGGCGCTGCCGTCATTGTTCTTGTAAAGGATAGTCAGATCTGATAAAGGTTTATCGCCTCAGAAACCCCTTCGGGCTCCAGTTTTAAATGCAACCAAGTTAATATATTCCTGTCATTTCCTGCTGTCTGTCCTCCTGAGATTTATAAGGCTAGGGCTGCCGGTAAGCTATACGGGACAGCAGGCGGCATTAAGACAGGACCGGTTATCTCAATTCTCCAAAGACACATAAGTCACCGTTGACTAATCTCCACTCAATGGCGCAAATTGGCCCGTCGATGGGGTTTCAATCATTAGGAGCCGTACTGCCGCTGAAATCATGACCTGTCTGCTTAAATACTAAAAGCGATCCAGCACTCACAGCACGGCCCGCCGTCTGCAGCCGGTGTGTCGCGTGTGCCGGTCTGGGCTCCTGGTTTGGGGGGGGGGGCGGGCATCGCTGACGGAGGTGGGTGGGGTTGATGGTCCATGGATGCATGCCTAGTATCTAATGATACCATCAAAGGTTTCCTAAATGAACACGCTCACCTGCGTGGAAAAATGCGTGTCACATGCTCGTAATCGTCGCAATCGTTTGGCGGGAACCCCATTTAACGGCCTGTCTGGTTATACAACCAGCACAAGTAATAAAATGGTCATATGGGTGCGCTAGATAAAATAAAGGCAAAGAAAGAAATTTCAGTAACTAAAAGCACTGTTTTATGTGCACTGCTCATACTAATACTTGGGGGGGAAAAATCAACCAATAATAATTTTTACTGCGAAAAGTCCTGCCCTAACTGAACCTTCAGATAGAACAGCTGAGGTTAGGATGTTTCTCTGCATTAAAATATGAAATAAATATACTTATCACAGCTCGTTCCCAGCTCTGTACATGTACCCCCCCCAGCCCCAACGTGAGGTACGCAGAGCCATCACGCCCGTATGCTCACACACCTCGGCCGCACGTTTACGGACACACTGAGCATTTTCACTGCCCGGCAGGATGTTTCTCCTGCGCTGTGAGCTCCTGCGATGGCAGTCCTCATCCTCCACAGCACGTTCTCGCGCGGCTTTCATTAGGCCGGCGCAGGGACGCCCCGAATGAGGCCGCTTCCGTGTCACACTCCACTCATCCGTCAACGTACTGGATTATTTCTTGAGAGACTCGAATTGGCTTCGCGGAGTCGAGGGCCATCAATCTCTGCTCGGCGGGATGTGGGGCAGCTGGCTGGCGGGGGCTCCCGGGAGAAAGGGAGGCGCTCATCTCCAGCAGGTGATGAAGCCACAGTACAAATGTTACTCAATCTGAATCGTAGCCCCGAGTCGTAGATTTGTCACTGAGACAAAAAAAAGACAGGAGGAAAGATCTCTCCATCTTTTATATGCATCCAGCATCCTGCCTGCTCCCACTGCGCCAGGCGCTCCATTTTTCAAACTTAGCCTAACGTCAGGGCCGCTCAGACTGTAGCTCCACCTCCACGTTCCCCAGACCCCGCCCACGTCTCCATCCCACACTGGAGGCCATCGACCTCCCTCTGCTTGCTGGCCTGCCTCCATTATTCCAAAGTCATTTACTGAACGACCTCACGACTGCCAAGCGTCAGTTATAGACCTGTAAGTGTATGCTATCAATGCTTAAATAAATTAACATTATTAACTGAATGCAGAATGCCATTTTCAGCCTTGCGGACAAATAAGTCATAAATATTTAGCTATATTATCTGTATCTATGATTCTGTTTCACAAATAGTCATAATTGCTCAATTAAACATAATGGACATACAATGTAAGTATTATCCATCGATTGCTCTAATTCTGTTAATAATTTGTCGGCATCTGTTATTACGTCTGCTCTTTTGTACATCAAAGGCTTGCAGCACAAACAACGTATGCATGATATTTGGGTGCAATATATATCGAAATATATTTAAACTATGAAATCCTCCACCTGTGAAATCAATTGGGCTTGGACTGTTTTGTTAGGCGTTTCAGTTGCGGGGGCTCTCCCTGCCTTTCTGACACCATCATTCACTCCGCATTCGCCACACAGCGACCGCGTGCGGATCAGAGCGCGCGCCACGTGACTGAGGCGAATCTCGGACCGCGTGCTGCGGCAGGGATGAATCACAGTGATTAGCAGCTGTGGTATTTATACTCTTATACCTGGAAGGGACCTATGTTTCCTATAATCCAAATTATCCTCCTGTGTGTATATATTATATAGACACACTTTTACCCTGCTGGGGGTCCTTCCCTGTCCTGTGCTGCCACATTGTCTCTATAGCAGAATAATAAATTGTTGCTTCTTTACACGTGCACATGCCTCTATCTTTGCTGAAGAGGATGCATTGTGGGTAATGTAAAAGCCCTCATCATCTCACCCTACACCCTTCATCATATTTTGCCCCCCTATAATGAGAGAAACAGGAAAGACTGCCCACCGTGTTCATATCTGTTTGTGTGTGTGTCTGTGCCCTTAGCCGTGTCTGTGTCCGTACCCGGGTCCGTAACCAGGTCCATGCCCATAGCCGGGTCTGTGTCCGTACCCGTGTCTGTGCCCTTAGCCGTGTCTGTGTCCGTACCCAGGTCCGTAACCAGGTCCATGCCCATAGCCGGGTCTGTGTCCGTACCCGTGTCTGTGCCCATAGCCGTGTCTGTGTCCGTACCCGGGTCCGTAACCAGGTCCATGCCCATAGCCGGGTCTGTGTCCGTACCCGTGTCCGTGCCCATAGCCGTGTCTGTGTCCGTACCCGTGTCCGTGCCCATAGCCGGGTCCATGCCCATAGCCGTGTCTGTGTCCATATTCATATCCATGCCTGTGCCAGTGTCCGTGCTCATTGCTGTGTCCATGTCGATGCCCATGCCTATGCCTGTGTTTGTGCCCATATTAGTATCTGTGCCCATGCCCAAGTTCGTGCCAGAGCGAGCCTCACTAAAACGAAGCAGCTCAGCCAGGCAGCTCATAAACTGCAGCGGAATTTCTCACCCGTGACCCGTAAACCTACCGCTGCATCTGCTAGGGGCGGGATTCTGTTTTTCGCTGAACTCCTCTATAATTTACAGGACGCTTACTGCAGGGCGCCCGTCTCTGATGCCAGGCTTTGGCAAAGCCAGGTGAACCTGGCAGCACACTTTTAAAAATGAATGCAGGCCTGTCTGCTATTCGCTCTGCTTCTTTTACCCTCTGTTTGAATTCTGCCCGCTCACGTCTGAGATCTCCACCCCACTCACAGTGTCAGTGCTGAACCCAACAGGACAAAGTATCCTACATGGAAACCATGACAAGTGCAGTTGGTTTTGTCTCAAAATAAGAAAATCGCATTTATTTTGATACTATTTTGTATCAATCAGACCTGTCAGACCCTGTCTATGTATTGCCATCTCCAGATAACAGGGCTACATTTCTTGTCTTAGATACTCTTTTTATGAACAGCATTGCTACAGACGGCATTAATGTTTAAACAGCAGTTGGGCTTGTGCCCCTGTAGACTACTTCACAATGACCTTGCATTCAGCTGCTTCAGGAAAGCACATCATGAGTCCTTTACGCGCTGCTGATCTGACAACGCTGACCCTACAGACTTTTATCAGTCTGTGATCCACGGGAACAGGAGCGGTGCGCTCACAGAAATCAATTAATCCAGGGCTTGTCCATTTAGGATGCTGGTGTCAAACATTTAAAGATGAGAATCACCAACAGCACAGCTGAGCGACTGAAACCAAAGCCCTGGCTGGTTCTCCGTTGATTAGTTAGTATTCCAGTCACCATATTGTATATGCTCATGATGTGGTAATGATCGACTTTCCCCAGTCATCAAAGCTCAGTGACAGTGACTGCAGCAGATTTCAGACAGCAGAGTCATATCCCTGGAACCTCAAACCAACACGCCAGCCACTCTTGGTGTTAGCCTGATGCTAGCTGAATGCTAGCCAGATGCTGGCCTGGAGGAAGGAAAGCAGAGACTCACCGAGGATCTGGATGGCGTTGCGGCCAGGCCTGGGCAGGTGGTGCTGCTGGATGGTGTTGTAGAGAGTGGCCCGGCAAAGCATGACGGCGCTGGTGCTAATCCACAAGCACCAGAACCAGGACATGGTGGGTGCAGCTGTGGGGTGTAACAGAGAGACTGAATCAGCTTTACTGGCCAAGTGTGTTCGCACACAAGCTGGGAGTCTGTGTCCCAGACTCAGAGGCTCAGATACATACAGTAGATACATACACAGGTAAGACAAGACAAAGCTGATATATTCAAAGTGGATATGTGGGTGATAAATGTATAAAAAGTCATCTGGGGTCAGAGACAAGTGTCTGTTTGCTTCTCACACGCATCCGGACAGAAGGGAATGGGGGTTGGGGGTGGAGGCAAACCAAGGTTGTCCATGTGGAGATTATTCACAGGAGAGAGAGAATGGAAGCCCACACGCAAGTCGGCAGAGAGTCTAAACACCTACATCCACACAGAGGCAGCTCAGATAGCGAGGCCAGAGGAGCACGGGCGAGCAACAGCGAGCACGACTCAGAAAGAACCACGCAGAGTCGAGGGGATGGGGGATTCAACGAGCTCCACCTGCAAAAGGGGGCTGGCAGGACAGGGGCCGATGGAGAAATGTCCTGAGGCAAATCAGCAGGATCTGCAAAACAGAGGGCATCTTTTGGGATGTGTAACACGGAAGGGGACACCGTGACAGCGAATCAACTGGTGGAATCCAGCTCCTATCAGAGCAGAGGCTGAAAAGCGATACGTCCAACAGCAAGTTCAGTACAAATTGCAGCAGCAATACATCAATTTCTGAACTAAAATCTGTCTGGAATAACTGATGGAGATTGACGTTACCATGAAATACAATTTTACGACCAGTAAAGTATGTATTTTAAGTGGCATTTCTTCATAGATGTGACTATCTGATGTGGTGTATGTTTTTTTTGCTGTGTGCTTTTGGCTGTGCTGCAAATAAACAGAAATCATAACGACCTCACAGAATGTTTATCCTGTTTCAAACACTGAGCGTTTGCTCGTTACGTGACACGATCATTTCAAAGCCTTCTGTCCATAAAATACAGAAAAACAGGCGTCACTCCTGGTAATATAGCACTATTGTCAGAGTGCTGGACCGCAAAGTGCGACCTCTTTTTGCCATATCTGATTAAAACCTTCTGTCCATGACACTTGGAAAAGCGTCGTTTCGTCACCGGGCCGGGCCGCCATCGGTAACGGCTCTGCCTGCCTCTTCGCCGAGTTACCTTTCTCCCCTCGCCTGTATCGCTGTTATCACGCGGTCTCCGCAGCAGCAAGGACCCTTATATAAAGGCACTCCAGACGTATCACCGTCTGTTAAAGTGCTTCTAATTCACTGCAAATATATGCGTCTGTTTACCTCTTCAACGGTGAATCAAGAACGTGAATCCTAACATGAATGTACATTAATTTTGGAAATCAGTCGTGAACCTTTTACCATGTACAGCAATTAATTGCTGTAAAGTTTAAATGGTACGTTAGATGAAGCCTACATAGTCATTTTAATGGCAAAACTTTTTTGTTGTTGATATTATTCAAATTCGTTGAATAATAAAATGTTTTTCTGTTTAAATGTCTGGTAGCGCTTTACAGTAACTGCGCCGTCATAATGCCTTCATAGAGCATTCATATATAAGCAGCATGTAAGTATACCCTAACATCCTATCATACCTTAACAACTTTAATATAGATTAATAATAAACATTACATGATAATAACGAACATTATAATCATATAATGATATAATGTTTGTTATTAATGTATATTAAAGCTGTAACGCTATGTTAGAATGTTAATGTATACTTACATGCTGCTTATGAATGCTCTATGAAGGCATTATGAACGCATTATGATGATCCAGCTACTGAAAAGCTTTACCAAATATTTATCTCCCGCAAGACTACATGCTGAATCTTAATTTCTGTTAGTTTTGACTGTATTAAATATAAATATAACGCTGATGCCAGAGCTTAACAATGGGTTACAATGGAAATAGTATTTAACAGTACTGCAATTTTATTCCAATTTAATGTCCGTAACCTTTAAGGCTTACATTACTGATACCACGGTATGACAATACCATGTCACTCACTACCACGGTGTGCAGGAGATATAAAATCTCTTCAAAAACGCTTAGAGATATATTTCGTTGAGTATGTATTGTACTTTTGGACTGAACAATTCTTCCAACAAGTGTACTGATCTTAAAAAATGATGATTAAAGCACGGGGGAAAGCTGTCTGATTCACTCAGGGTCACTAATGGACACATTACTCCTTTTAATGGAGCTTAAAGTATGTCGCTGGGTCTCCCTCTACCCCCAACTGACGTTGAGACAGCCACTGAATATTCGCTAAGTAAAATAAAGTATACAAGCATTAGCAGCCCATTGCAATCCCCTTTCCTGCGCTAATTTAAGATCCAGTTTTAGAGAAATGCAAACTATTCCCCGAGGAAGGATTTTCATCACACGGTGTGTTATTGACAGGATGCCTTAAACCTTGAAAATACATACGCGCGCGCTCACGCACACACACACACACACACACACACACACACACACACGCACGCACACACACACACACACAAACACACAAAGAGGTTTGTCATTATATCTTTGTGGGGACTCTCCAGTCATTCCTACGGGGAAAACTCTAATCCCAACATGACCACCCTAACCCTACCCAGCCCTAACCTTAACCATAAGTAACCAAACAAAATACGAGACTTTTGGCATTTTTACTTTTTTGATTGTATTCACGGATCCTTGTGGGGAATTGAAAAATGGTCCCCACAACGTCAAAATATCAGGTTTTCATTACATTGAGGGGGACATTTGATACCCACAATTTAATATAAGCATAATCCACACACACACACACACACAGTGGATCCTGGAAAATGTTCTCAGCTGGTCTGCTCTGGGTATTGAGACTGTCTCTGTGTATTTATGTCAGATGAGGAAAGCATCGTTTGTGACTGACATTGCGCCAAGCTGGCAGAAAGGAGCGCACTGCCGGACCACAAAGCAAATTATAATTAAGGGCACCCCAGGCACATAACCTGAGGAGTCATGAATACTTGTTTCACCAGAAAAGCGCCAAATTATTTCTTAAGTTGCTATACCGGCTGTTTCAGCTAACGATCTATTGCACTACTACCATGTTTTACCCCACCAAAAATAGGGGAAGCACATATAAGGTGCACATTTTCTTGATTCCTTCAATAAATTAAGGTTAAACGCACGTTTCGTGTCACATCGGCAATTTGCAAATCTGTTTAATGGGCCGCCTTTCTTCTGCTCTGCCATCTAATTGGCACATTGATTTATCTCCTCACACGGACGCGCTTTTTGACGGCCGTCTAGGCGCACGTCACCGTGCCACATTACTACTCCAGAAAGTAACCGATCCCACTCGCTTCTTCAATACCCGCCTTCGCCTCTATAATCCGCACTTTCATAAGTAATTCAATGCACTCTTTCCCTTATATTAAATAGGACAATGTAAGATGTGCACAAGATGCCCCTTAGTTCGTCCCTGTACACTTTATTGCTTCTTTTTTTTTTTGCATATTTGTCAAAATTATCTCAAAATTATTTGCATGCTCAATGTGCAATTAATTTTTTAATAGAAATGAATATCCCGATGCTTTCCCAATTTTGAAAACATTCAAAAAAGCGTTTCATTTTTGTCAAAAAATTGACTCAGCGTGCATGCATTATTTATTTTCGGAGCTGAACGTATTTTAAGAAGCGCTGGTGACAGGGACGGAAAAGCGACCGGCTGAATGTCTTTGCTCATATCGGCCATGACTGTATTACAAGTAACGCGGATGGTGAAAGACAAAATATAGTCAGACAACCAAACGCACCACATTGACTGCTGATGAAGTTCAGTTTCCTTCTGATTATAGCGGGTTAGACATGTAAACGCGCAGTTCTCCACATCCTCCACTTTTGGATGGGAAATCATGAAGTCATCTTCGTTACCTATTGGTATCCTCTCTCGTTCCTATCTGGAATCCAAACCTGTGCATTAAATACAGGTCAGAGAATAATGCTTCATCTCCTCACTTGCATCTCGAAATATTCGCGCAGTGACTGAGCTCCAAAGACCACAGCCGCTTTCAGGCTCTTACCTGCTTAATCCGGCCAGCAGAAAAGAAACCTTACTAGTGCTCATCCAAAGAAATCATCACGCTGTCTTAAATCCATCCATATCGCCGTTGGGCTTCCCACAAGTTCCCGCTTAAGGTTTGCGAAACTGCGGATGCGGGGCTGTCCTGTGCCCAGCGATCGCTCCAAACGTCCAGGCGCAGCGCTTAACTCTCCCGGCTGAGAGGCTGTGTCAGACACCGTCCGGGCTTTAAAGGGTGCAAACGTGTCATTTCACCTTTAAATCATGTCGAGGCGTCACCTTTCCGCTCTGGAGGGGATCCTTGTGTTGCCGCGGAGTTAATTCCCCACCACACTTAAGCTAAAGAGGCGGATCGGCTCCTCGGCGATGACAGCTCCCTCCCCGCTCCTTCCCGTCCTCCACTTCAACAGCAGATTTGCTCTCCGGCTTCTTTAAAACGAACTAAGTAGTACATGTATTGCAAAAAAGAAGCAGTGCCAGAGAGGTATGGCATGTCTTAAAGCTAGACTGCCCGCTACTATAATGATGCACGGTTATTAAACCCCATCCACCCTATCAGCTGAATTGATGCAGCGAATCGGACGGAGCGCATGTCACGGGACGACGGGGAGTCGCCTCTTAACGCGCCCTTTTATTTGCCGCGACGGATCTGTGGAGGAAGGACGTGAAATAACTACTTTCTTTAGTTGTATCTTTTTTATATAGGGGGTGGTGGTTAAATAAGCATAATATGGAGAACAACTATATTGATTGATCCTCTTGCAGTCAGCTTCGGTGCCACCCGGCTGCGTTTTTCAGAGAGAAAAGTTCTTGGTCACAGCTGGTGAGGGAGGCAAACATTTCTTCAATGTTTAATGACATATTCAATCCAGAACCCTTAAAGTGTAAAATTAAAGAATGCTTCCTTGCGTTTGCTATCAGGATTTTGAGGTTAAGAATAATAGCAGGCAAGGGGGGAAGGTGTCGGGGGAAGCTGGAAAGTCTTGCTGCTGGGTAGCCAGTCGAACAGCTGAGACTGGTGCAGACTGGCCTCTGGGTGACACCTTCACTAGCTGGGGGGCTGAAGCCCAAGCAGACCGGTGTCCCTGCCAAAAGAATCACATCTTTTCCTTGGTTGTTCGATTATTGATTGGTTATTTTTTTGACTACAGCAACATGAAAAGAATAATCAATGTCAGACAGAGGTTTTACACTTGCTGGTGTGCGTGTTTCCTGTCAAACACTGATGTTGAGTGCAACGGCAGGACCAGCGCTGAGACTCTAATCACCTTTTTTGTTTATTACTGGTGAAGTTTTTATTTTATTTTCTTTGTCAAACAGAAATATCCAAGCTATGACCTATTGAGAGGGGTCTGTGTGTCGCTCTCTCTGCTGGATTATAGGAAGCCTTGGGTGTCTGGAACAGCAAAGGTCACCATCAAGCTGCAGCTGTTAATAAGGCCTTCAAAAAGTACATTTAGAATCCCACTGCGCTCTTGGGCTTGAGAGTAGTGGCATAAAGGAATTCCTATGTGCAAGTCTAAAAGCTGCCTTAAATAACAGTCAACCAATTTGGAAAAAGCAGAGCATGCTGAAAAGTTCAGAAGATAAGTTAATAAGTCTACTGAGTCTTAATGATTAGCCTTCTGTGTTACACTGCCCCGTAAAATACCAACGTGGTATTAATCAAAGTGACTGGCTGGATTTAATGTCTGGCAGTGAACTTGAGTCTAATTCTTTTTTTTTGTATATTTACACTGTTATTATTGATGAATTGCCTGTCTTATTAGTACATACATGTTAAAACCGTGTTGTTGACCTGTTAGGTTAAAGCTGTATGGTTGGATGGTGTATCTCATCAGACTCTGGTATGTCTGTGTTTGCCATGCTTCAGCATGTTGTACGGGTGTAATAAACTGAACACACCACAAAGGCTAACAGATCCCTTTACGATCAATTCCCTTTACAGTAAGAGAAATAAAGAAGATGCAGTCCAAGGTAACTTTGCTTTCCAGCATTTCCCCTGGCAGAAGCGCTGAGTATCCAGCGAGGTCTGTGAGATCCATGTTGCCACCTGGGTATTTGCCTTTTATGCCGTCCATTGCTCCTCTTTCCCTGCTCGCCACGCAGTTCGGAAGCTTCTGCACCAGCTTTGAGCTTTTTAAAACATACATTTACTGGCCTTCTGGGCTCAAGCTAACAGTGAGAGTAGATTCTCTCTTAGATTTTCACGGAAATCTTCTGTTTTTGCTCCATCCACTCTCTCTTTGTTTGCCTTTCATTCTTCCTTTCTGTTTTCTATCGCTTTCTGTCAGACTTTCACTCCTTTCTCGCTTTCAGTCTTCCTTTCTGCTTTCTCTATTTCTCACTCCTCTTTTCGGTCTTTCTCTGTTTTTCATTCTTCCTTTCTGCCTTTCTCACTCTGTCTTTTATTCTCTTTGTTCTGCCTTTCTCTCTCTCTCTTTCATTCTTCCTTTATCTCTCTCTGTCTTTTATATTTTTTCTGCCTTTTTGTCTCTCTCTTTCTCTTTCATTCTTCCTTCCTTCTCTCTCTCTCTCTCTCTCTCTCTCTCTCTCCCTCTCACACACACACTCTTTTTCCTCTCCACATCTCTTGGGCCTCTTCCTTTTCCAAACAGCTGCTGCCACCATCCGTGCCAAAATGAGTCAGAGAGGCAGGATCACCAGCGGGATGCTCTAGCGCCTCGCCGTCCCGCTAATCGGCAGCCCGCCCAGTCTGGCGATCGGCTGGGGAGTGCGCGCCCAGTGCAAGGGCCCGCCGTGACCTTCCCGCGTGTTGACATGCCTGGGGTCAGCCTGGCCTGCTGGAGGACCCCTCTCGCGGCCCTGCGCGCCGCTGCCTCTGCTAGCGTCCAGATGGCTGCCTCGTTTGATCACTGAATCAATAATGGGTTCATTTTTAAAGCGCGAAGCTGGAGCGTCTCTCAGCAAGCCGGCGTGTGCCAGAGGACTCGGGCTTTGCTCTGTGTTGGCTTGTTAATGGAGGGGACTGCACTGGAAACGCTGTGGAGCAGATCCTGTAGGAGGTGTTATCTGTTAGAACAAAATGGAAACTGCTTCTATGACAGAGATCTCCATAAAGGGTTTCTTGGAATCGAGGTTGGACAATGTGCGTGGAGAGACTGTGATTCAGCTTTTTAATTAGCAGAGCGATCGCACACAGGAAAGCAACTCTCCTGTTTGGATTTGCCCGCATATACGCTCTCTTACCTCCAATTACACCTTGTATTCCTAAGCTCAAGGAGTGCAGTAGCAGGACTTAAAAAGAACTGTTACTGTAATATACTGTAAGCCACAATGTGAGGTTACAGTAATGCAAATATGCATGCAAATATGATTTCTGGCAGATAAATCAATATTTACAGAAGCTGCAGGTAGCAGGTAATTGCTGGATATCACTGGCAGTGATCTGAGACATTATTTACCAATGGATATTGCAGGCTGACGGCTTTTGCTAATTATCTCTTCATTGCAGATGGCGCTAACAGGCACCGGTGTCCCCGGGGTATTTGGGAGAGCTCACAGGGCTGTACCCCAAAATTCTGTGATACCAGAGGGGGTTACAAGAGCTCTCGTGTGGCTAAAATCTCCCAATGGCCAATCACTGCAGCAGTGCATTCTGGGAAAGCCTTCTGTGTTTTTCTTTTGGGTAGAAGTAGGTCAGAATCGCTGTGCTGGTAGGCACCGGACCAGAGAGGTACGCCATGCCCTGGAGAAGTCAGACGTGGGGAAGGAAGGTTCCAGACAGATAAATAAAGCTTTCTGTCCTGCAAGCATTAATTAGACCGGGGGGTCGAAGTGGCCAGACAGCACGCTGGAGTGGGAGAGGCCTCCGGTCACACGAGGAGCCACTGAGACAATTAATCTTGTACTCCAATAGCAGGGGTGTCCATCTCCTGCAAAGCCAAAGGCTGACAGTTACCACACCTCTGAAGCCACACGGGGGGGGGCTTTTAAGGACGCACAGATTAGGCTTTGAAGAACGACCCGCGGCAGCACAATCTCAGTGCAGTGATTAAACATGAGCAGGAATAGTGTGTAATGCGGCTCCCTTCGCAAGAGGGAGAGCTGGAGGTAAATGCTATTTGATTATGAAAGGGGAGGGGCTTTTGGGTGGTGGTAGCTTGGGAGAAGACTCCCTACTGACCTGTGATTCACTGAAAATTGCTTAATGTAAGTGCTATGTATTCTGGGGGGGGGGGGCTCTCTGGTTTTGTGCTGTTTTGATTGTTTAAATAACAGACATATTTATGTCTGTTCACCTACCACAAGGGTACAAAAATAAAATCTCCCCTCCGATCCCTTTGTCGTCAAAAAAGCCAGATTTTTCAAAGTGATCTAAGGTAGCAGTTTGATTTATTTTTCATCCAAAAGGATGTACAGTTTTATTAGAACATGAATCAGAAACACTGCATCACTGTTTCAAAATCACCGTTTACCAGTGAACACATCTGCAATGACTGAATATTCATGTGAAACAGTTCATTTCCATTCTAAAGCATATTTAACGTTTGAATGATGTGTTGCACTAACTCCAGATTGTCTGCACGGTTTGGTCTGACTGTGACGACAGATGGTGGAGCAACACAGTCACCCAAATTGCGTGAGGAAACTGAGTCGGCAGCGAGTGGCTGTGCGGCTTCAGTACACGCTGGTAGCGGCATCGTATGAGTCGGTATACTGGGACCCACTGCCTCGCAAGTGCAGGGGGGCTGTTTGCCAGTTTTTGGTGTGGGGGCCCCAATTGTATCATGGGCAGGGACCCTCCTTCATATCTCATCGGGATATAGCATTATGACGAAACGTGAATGATTTATTTTACGCTGTCAGCTTTTTATATTCTTTCACTTTAAGAGATACAGAGATAACTAAGTATAATTTAAAATGCATGTTTATATTGTAATTCTGTGACAATCAGGAAGATAAAATAGAAAAGTAAAACACACCACACCCATGGTTCGAATTACAGGGGAGCTAGGGGGAGCTCGGCCCCCCTGAAAAGGACACAAGCTCCCCTGAAAGACCTGTAGGGGGCGCTCTAAACAATTGTCCACTTTTGTGTTATAGGTTATATACAGTATTATTGTCCATACATTGAGTTTCCTGAAAAAAAAATAATATAAAGATGTGAGTGTTGTGTGTTTATTCGCTCATTAAATTCCATTAAACTTCTTGTATGATTATATTGTTATTGTGCCTATATGAAATGCTACTGACGGACTAAACCGCCTGCAGTAGTAACTGCAGTAGTAAGAGTACAATGTTGTTTGCAGTGACCCTGTCACTGGCCACACTGCCGCACACTTTTATCTATGTGTGTGTATATATAGGGCCCCCGAAAGCCACTGTGTAATTCGAACCCAGACCACACCTATAAACACATTAAAACACATGCAAGGGACATACTGATGAAAGTGGATAACATTGTATTCTATTTCAGAATAGCGGTAATATTCGCGTATTTTTGATAGTTTGAAGTATGACATTTGCCACTGCATCACTTTGAACAACTTCCCTGAACTTTGATGTTTAACTGCAGGGATGAGAGGAAGAGA